TTAAGGTACCATTTCGACACCTGATCGACCCACGTAAAAGTTGCGTTACCAGCCATATATTCTAGGGCATCGCCATGCAGCACATCTCTATCGCCTTGCAGCACATCAGCATCGCCATGTATCACATCGGTTCCCCCATGCAGCGCATTGCTGTCGCCTTCCAGCATATCGGTTTCGCCTTCCAGCATATCTGGATCGTATTCCAGCACATCGCATTTGGCGTGAGCGACACTCAGAGCGTCAACAATCTCTGATTCTGCTTTCAAAGGCTCTGGTTCTCCTACTTCCTGTTCATCTGGTGCGCTATTTTCGACCACCCCGCTTCCATACAACACCTGCGGGTTTGATGTGTTCAGCCATTCAACAGAATCCAGCTCGACGTTGCCTGTTTTGTTCAGATTTTCGGCATTCCTTGCTGAAAAATAATTCAGAGGGGCTATTCTCAAACGAGTCAGCGACAAATATCGTATCGCTATCATAACCTTGCGACATTCATAACACACGTCAGCTACTTCCGATAGTGATCCGAATAATGTCGTAAACTGGTTTGAGATTAGGTATACAGGTGTGGATAATATACAATTAAATATACATTTAAAAGATAATTTTTGGCAAACTTACCTAAAATGTATTGTCGGAGCTTGTACCTAAACTCCTTCGGCGTAGAGTGGTCGTTTAATCCTCCCTTGCTTCGTATATTTCCGAAGAAGTGCTCCAGCAAATCTTGATTTAGACGCCGTGTGACAACGTAGTTGAAGTTGTACTTCACTACCACATACTCGTACAACTGTAACAGTGCGTTACCAAAACACCCCTTTGAAATTGTTGTAAGCTATTTTTGCGAGGGATGATAAAATCTGACATGAAATTTTTCATGCGTCCCAAAATCTCGAGCTGCCGCTGCATCTTCCGTCCAAATGGTTCCTTTAAGTAAATTATATGCAGATAATAAGTTGTTAATTTTATGAAATATTACCTTTCCAGGATAATTGAACGTTTTAACGGAGGAATTGAGCACGTCGTACCAATCGTTCCCCAACTGAATTAGTTCAGCTGTCTCAATCGCTTCTTCTATGTCCAACCCCAGAGCGTAGCAGCGCAGTATGGCTTTTCAGTCGTGTTAGANTGATGTGTTCAGCCATTCAACAGAATCCAGCTCGACGTTGCCTGTTTTGTTCAGATTTTCGGCATTCCTTGCTGAAAAATAATTCAGAGGGGCTATTCTCAAACGAGTCAGCGACAAATATCGTATCGCTATCATAACCTTGCGACATTCATAACACACGTCAGCTACTTCCGATAGTGATCCGAATAATGTCGTAAACTGGTTTGAGATTAGGTATACAGGTGTGGATAATATACAATTAAATATACATTTAAAAGATAATTTTTGGCAAACTTACCTAAAATGTATTGTCGGAGCTTGTACCTAAACTCCTTCGGCGTAGAGTGGTCGTTTAATCCTCCCTTGCTTCGTATATTTCCGAAGAAGTGCTCCAGCAAATCTTGATTTAGACGCCGTGTGACAACGTAGTTGAAGTTGTACTTCACTACCACATACTCGTACAACTGTAACAGTGCGTTACCAAAACACCCCTTTGAAATTGTTGTAAGCTATTTTTGCGAGGGATGATAAAATCTGACATGAAATTTTTCATGCGTCCCAAAATCTCGAGCTGCCGCTGCATCTTCCGTCCAAATGGTTCCTTTAAGTAAATTATATGCAGATAATAAGTTGTTAATTTTATGAAATATTACCTTTCCAGGATAATTGAACGTTTTAACGGAGGAATTGAGCACGTCGTACCAATCGTTCCCCAACTGAATTAGTTCAGCTGTCTCAATCGCTTCTTCTATGTCCAACCCCAGAGCGTAGCAGCGCAGTATGGCTTTTCAGTCGTGTTAGAAGAAAGCAACTGTGTCGCCAATTTTACCTTTTGTCTGCCTGAAATTTTGCGTGAATTATATTAGCTACGAGATTATAGAATAGTTATTATTAACATACCTATCCCTTTTACAGCTAAGTGCTCTTCTGTTACCTTGAATGTTATAGATAGGTCGGATACAGATGTGTACCTCATAACATCAACTATTGCGCGCGTGGTTATTATGCGGTCTTTCCAAACAAATCCACTATCAATAAAATGATTTCGGATGAGTTTCAACAGATGCGGAGCATCCGCAAATGCGAAAACCTTCGCCTCTGGGTCAGTAGGGTTGGTGAACCATGGGTGTTCTAATTAATTGTTAACTAGCTTTAGAAAATGTATTAATGAATTAAATATATACCTGGAGTGATGCCGAGGTCTCTCCAAAGCTTATGGTTGGATGGGCCCATATCGCAGACCATCGCAAGAACAGGGAAGCCAG